ATATATATTCAAAAATCCTCATCTCCCAAATTTGGTGGTACTCATTTTTTTTAGGGACAGAGTTTGGGACTTCTTTGGAAATCAGGAAACTTAAAATGCTCCTAGTGAAGTGCCCTGCTTTGATTTTGTGCTTAATTAGCCTAACAACCTATGTTCCCAGATGAGTTTTCAAAGTGACCAGTCTGTATCAATCTCAGCTTCATAAGCTATAATAAGAGCATTGCCAATGAAAAGGGAAAGTTGTCAAGAACATATTTGAAGTTCCAACAGTGAATGTTTGCCTTTTAGTGTTAAGCTGATAACTCCTCAGAAGTGAGAGTGAGAAATCATTAGCTTAATGATGCAATGCTAATTAATTAGCCTCACCTCTTCCAAATAGGTTATATAATATGAACCAGGAGACTAGTTAAGGCTATAAAATTTCCAGTAAGAAATCTGAAGGGAAATAATGATGACTAACTTGTGGTGGATAATTTTTGTTTCCAGTAAGAAAAACAAAGGCAGCACAAGAGGAAGCTCAAAGGTTCATGATGTAATACTTGGTCCTGGAAACAAAGTAAAAGTCCTCTTCACATAAGCAGAGGTAGTAGGAAAAGCACCTGCTAAAAAGTGAATGTTATTTTAAGCAAGAAGTTATATTTCTTCAGAACACTGCTGGCCAGTAAAAATATGACATATGAAATCTTTAATGTTACAGTAGCCTACTTAAAAGTTAAAAAAAAAGTGAAATTTTAACAACGTTTTTATTAAACCTAACATGTCTGAAATATCATTTACATATTAAAAAATATTAATTTTTAAATATCTATTTCAATGTGATATGTATCTGAAAACTGAGGGGCTTCTGGCCCCTAACTATGAAATTTAGTATGTAATTTACATCTCAGCACCTCTCAATGCAAACTAGCTACATTTCATATGCTCAATAGTCATAGCTGGCTGCAAGCTGTGTGACTTCAGACCATTGCCCAGATAAATGTGGATGTGTGTGTGATGTTCTTAGTACCAACTCCAAAGTAATGAAAGAGCTGGAAGACCCTGAATGACAAAATAGAAGCAAACTTTTTGGTATAATTTCACAATCATTTTATATATTTTATTATATTATAATTTTGTGAACATTGGTAATCCATGAACATACTGATTAACTATACTAATAAGTCATTATTTATGATGCCTTAATTTAGCAACCATCTGTGATAAGTTCCTTTTTAAAAGCCTTAATGAGGATGCAGAGAGCTTGAGTGTGAAAGAAACTGAAGGAATGGAAATCACCATGGTTCCCCAGATGATGAGTCTTCCTAAGTGAGTCTGGAATCAGACCCTCCTGATGGGGAGACTACTTTCTTTGGCTAACATAGGGAGTGTCAAGGAAATGGGAAGAGAGGGCTCAGGCAGCCAGAGATGTACAGGAAGCTGGTTTGGTTGTGTGAAGGAAGAAAAATCCTTCTCATATAGTCAATTCACTTCACTAAAAAGGGCATCTCACTTTTGACATCCCACACCCTTAACATTTAATATAAAGGGGCACTTGTTGCTCACTATCGTTAGGGCTACAATGAATATAACTGTGTCACAACATTATCCACAGGGCAGGCACAGTGATCTGTTTTGAGGGGAGGTAATTAACAGATTCAAACTTTGGGTTGAAATGCTGAGACCTAAAGATCAGTCCAAATAGAGGGCCCTCTCTGGTCGTGCAATGGGTTGAAGCATAACACCAAGAAGCTAGCCACAGCCACCTCAGGACAAATTCAATCCTTGGCCAAGTTCAATCCTTGCCACATGGCATGGCAGATCTCTCCGGTCTTGCCCACTGCTCCCCTCAGCAGTGTATTTCAGTCCACCTGCCTGATCTGCTCCCCACTCTGTCTCTGGTCAATCCTCACACCACCTCTGTCCTGTACCCCAGTTCTGTATGCATACATAAATAAATCTTAAAAAAAGAAAGATGAGTCCAAGTACAGATGACCCCATTTTTAAGAGCTTACACCTTATACACCTGACAGTGAGTTTAGCTATTTTCTGTGAACTGAAACAACTTTTTTAGTAAGCAGTCATAGCTCTCTTTCTACTTTCTGCTACTGAGGTGACACTGATTCACAAAGCTGTATATGATTTGAAAGTACAGGGTCATACCCTTCAGGTATACCTCACCATGTCACAGCCACCATCAAGGTACCAACAGTCCTCCACCATCACTCAGTCTTAGTTATTATACATACTGCTCTTCAATTAGAGTAACAAAATATTTCATTTGTTTTAAACTGTTATGATTCATGCATTTACTTTTTGATTTAGTTTATTATCCTATTCCTTGACTTTAAACTGCTTTAATAACATAAAGGTAGATTTAAGTTGAAATTAGAGAAAAGAAGCAATAAACTAATGTAATTTTTTTAATGTCTGGGTGGCATTAGGAAAACTAGGCATTTTCCATACATTAAAGTTGCTTATGTTTGAAATGTGGTAACTAAAGCTATCATATACACAAGATTAGATGTGTATGTTTGCATATATGTTTTCTTGAAACTTCATAAGGAATAGAAGACTATAAGCCTGCGATTCATTAAATATCTTTGCTCACCACGTTGTTTTCAGTATTTCCTTTCCAGATTTTATAATCAATCCCTTGTTTTACAGTTTTAAACTACCTCTGAGTTTCTTTTGAATAGAGGAACACACATAAACATTTAGAAGAGGAAAAAAGTATTTAAAACATTTTAGGTAAAACATCAAGCAACACTTTTGCAGATATTCAAAGGTACTCACAATTAATATTTCAATCAGTAGATTGAATAGAAACCTTGTCTTCCTTTGTTTTTCATCCCAGTAAATGCCCTTTTTATTGATGAAGAATTTGAAAGTTAAAAACATCATTTTTGCTTGTCATTTATAATTAATGTTCTTTTTAAACCATCGGGTTGATAAAAATCAAGCTTTAACTTTGCATTTATTCATTTGTGCATCCATTAATTCTTCCTGTAATTCACATTTGTTGCATATCTATTATATGAGTATTTCTCTGAGGATATTTCTGTAGTTGGCCCCTATGTTCTACATGTTAATGAATTTTGCCTTCAATTTTGACAGATAGTATCATCATAACTTTTATGTAATATGACATGAACTATCCAGTTAAACATAGACATCTAGAAATAAATTCAGTTTCCTTCCAGGCAGGAAGTAGGTGCTAAATACCAGTAGTTACAATGTCAGAGATCAAGAGACACTGACAGAAGAACAGCAATGAATTTTTTGCCTCTGGAGACCTTATCAAAATCCTCCCGCAGATCAAGATTGTCTGCTCCACTCTCTAATACTTCATTCCGCAACTCTCTCAAGCAATGAAAAGTATGCTTTCCAGAATTATTTGAAAAGGATAGATCTGTTGACATGATATGTTTTAGTAGCCTGCCTTTTGGGGTGGAAGGAAGACCCTTAAGAGAGACCAGGCTTATTCTATATGCTACAAACATTGCCTAGAGATTTATAAATGCTCCCTGAGTTAGAAATTAAAAAGAAAAAACAATTCATTATGTGTGTACTCTATTTGAATTCATTTCAAATGAAGAGAACCAGCTTCCCTGTGTAGAAAAAAGCAAAGACTACCATTAATAGAAAAAGGAGTTAAATATACAATGACTAATTTATCCAAAAGTCTATTGAGAATAAAAATAAATATGAAAAAGTAACAACAGTGACCTTACATTTACCATTCACAACTGACTCATCAGCTCAGTCAATAATATATTAAACTTTTCATTTAATTTCCTTTGCACTGGGAAACATGCATGAAAGGAGAGGGTGTGGACTTTGGACCCAAGCAGACTGGACTTCAACTTGGGGTCTCCATCTTCCACTAGCCAAGCAATATTAGAAATGTTACTTGCAACCCTCTGAGTCAACAAATGTTCATGTGTGAAGCCAATGCCAAGCATGATCCAAAGATGCTTTGAGGGGGGGGTGGGTGGAAATGTTAAGCAATATTTATACAGCAATGCCTAACAGTGTTTGGGGCAAGACAAGACTGAATTAATATTAGTTCCTCTTTCTTTACCCATATGTCTGTGCAAAACAAAATCACTTTTGGATTTGAAACATGAACTTTCTCTGTCCCTCCATTAGAACACACTTCTCAACTTGTCACAAATCTGAGACATTACAAAACAACTGCATATGGAGTTCCTTTAACACCAGTGTTTGAAAAGGAAAATTGGATAATAAACTTCATTTACATTTTATATTCAAAGTAAAACCATATCCTTTTTTAGGAAAGCCCTCAGGTTAAATGACAGGATGGGACTCAATTTCAACTTCTACTCTGATCTGCCCTCTTAGCCTATTCTTTAGTCAGGTTAATAGGTCAAAGATGGAAATAAAATTCTTATGTCCAGTCTGAGCTGGATACTGTTGGCAACGTGCTAGAGAATTTAAAATGTGTTTTATGCATAAAGGGAGAGAGAAACAACCATAAGAAACTTCGCTCCACATAGTTTTGCTAGAGTAGCGTAATCGTTGTCAAAAGCAAAAGCTAGGGAAGAATTACTGAAAGAAGGGATTTGGGCTACCAGGGGTTTCACAAATGAAAGAGGGTGGAGAAGAGGAGTCAAGAGCTCCTGTCCCAGAACCAACTTACCCAGCTGGAGCTGTTCGCAGATCTGGTTTGGATTCTTCCCGATCCTGCATTTGTAAATCGCCCCCGGATGGACTACTGAAGTGTTGGAGAGCCAGTTGGCCTTGGGTGCTCCCACAATGAGCCTAAAGTGAGAAATGTGCACATGCACACAGATCACACAGATGTGAACTGTGCTGCCCTCTGAACTCCTGATCTAAGCAAACAGCTGGCGAGGGGGCTCCCCCCCTCCCACGTCGACTGCCCCGAGCACCCAGCCTGGCACCCCTAACCAAAATGCACGCTGGGCGCTGTCACTGCAAGATTAACTTTTGTTTCCTGCACCAGTAAGCTGGCCACGGCAGCGTTTTCTAACAGCTTCCCCCACAGGGAAGAAAGTTTGAAGCGACAGGGAATCCCTGAGGCGCCTTTCACAATTGCCTCTAAGCCGAGAGCTTGGGGTCAGATTCCACTCACCAGCGGTTTGCCCCGTGGCTGTGCAGCACCACCGAGTAACCGAACAAGGTGTTGGGGGCGCCCTGAAAGAGCAGCGGGCTCTTGGTGTCCACGTTGTAGGGGCGCCCGGTTGGGAACCCGAGGCAAAACAGCAGCATCACCGCCTCCTGGACCACGGCCCTTCGGGGGCCGCGCCTGCTCCTCGTTTCCCAAGCCATGTGCGCTCGGAAGGGAACATTCAATACCAAAAGGCCACAGTCCCAAAGTTATGCGGGCGGGAGGGTGAGACAGTCCGCCAAAAAGGAAGAGAGTCCCAACAGAAGAGGTACAGCAGCTAGTCCAGTGCCTGCCCAGCAGCGGCGGGAGGGAGGGAAAGAGGGTGGGAAAGAAAAAGGGTGGAGGAGGGACTAAGAAGGGAGGGGAAGTAGGTGGCCACAGGCGGGCGGAGCAAGAACGGGTTTGTTTGAGATGCAAGCTCACTCCCTGCAGGGCCCCACAACTGGTTTCTTCAGACCCAAGGTGCCCTGAGACTTCAGGGTTTCTGTGATCACAAGGTTTCTGAGACCTCAGGGTTTCTGAGCTCGGGTTGATGGGTGGGGTCCCAGGGCGTGGCGAGAAGCGCAGCACTGAGCACCCTCTCCCGGCTGAAGTGGCTGTAGGGGGCGCTGGGGGATCTCAACAGTACTGGACACAGGGCTTGGTCTGGGTGTCCCAGCAGAGGCACAGGATGACTCCAGGCTTACAGAGCTCTGTAAAGGTGGATCAGGAGGCGGCACAGAGCTTTGCCTTTTAACTGTGGTTGGGCCTGATTGCAAGGTGGCATAGTCCCAACTTGACCCACTATGAGTGCAGAAGCTGACCTGCTTACTGTGGCCCAAAGATCAGCTACAGTCTGAGTGACATGGAATCATAAACTCAGATGGAGACAGGGTGTCTCCCAGATCTGTCCTTGATAGTTAAGCATTGTGTCTAATTTGGGGGGCCTAAGTAACCACTAGAGAAGTTAATCAGAGGGCCCCGAATTTAAAACAAACTAAAGGAATTCACTGAAGGCATCTGAGGAACATGTCAGTAACAGTCGTTATGGCTACTCATTTCAGGGCTCTGCACCCTTCTATGCCCACTTCCTTCCTCCTAACACTTCCTCTTAGGTCCTGACTGCTTGCATGAGCCAGACAGCAGCCGCCTGGACTGAATGGCACAAGGTTTAGGCTGTTGCTGAGGAAAGCAGTGAGGTCGGGGAAAGAAAGCACTAGAACTTGCCTCACCACAACAGATCCTCAGTCTGGTTATTGACACTGCCAGTTTGCATGCATGCACCCAGTTGCCACCGGATACACCTGTCCTCGGGGCTATAGAATCAGAGTGAGCTCAAGACATAGACACCATAACAAGTCTCTGAGCATGTGCTACAGAGACACAACCCACCCAATACACCTGAGCTGGGTGATTCTCATCTTAATGCAATCCAGATGTGCCCCAGGTTTGTTTCTTGAGCAACCAGAGAGATCATTGTGGATAATTAGGATCATCATGGCTGACATTTGCAGGAAATGTAGGTCTGGTTATTAATTATTGCTATGTGAAAAATATGAGAATGGAGAAAGCATTTGTCAAGAGGAATATGTTAAGACTATGCTGAAACAGCACACCGTTAGTTGTCAAAGCAAACACATAATTAAAATATGTGTTTATTCATTCAGCACATTCACTGAGTTGGCACACTTTGGTAGGGCCATAGGATGCAAATGTAAACAAAGGCAGCCAAGTGGTAGAAAGACAAACTTTTCTTAACTAGAGAAAGTTCTTTATGCTTGAGAGATTTAATGAGAACTATAGGAGAAAGAGGAGTGAGCTAGGTTAAGCAGCTTGAAAGGAGAAATGAGGGACAGCACTGGACCCAGGGTGAAGAGGGAAACAGGGACACTTGTGAAACTCCTCAGCCAGATTAGGACATTGTCATTCCAGGACAGAAAGTTGTTGAGGGAATTTTCTTGGTAGCTTTAGAGTTTCACAAGTGTGAAGAAAACACTGGACACAGAAATCTAACTTGAGCAGCTTTCTAATGAGTAATAATACCATGATGGTGGCATGAAGTAGGAAGTAGCACAAATATTAGAGAAAACATAGATTCAAAACACAGAACCAACAGAGCCTGGTGAGTGATGGTAAATGCGTGTGTGGAGCTGGGGGGCTAGAACAATGCACAAATTCAGAGTTTGGGATCTGAGTATGTGATGCTAATGCATGGAGGATTAAAAACATGATGGAGGAAAGAGGTCATGCATGTGTGTGCACAGGATTGCACAAGTGAGAACAATGGTGAATTAAGTTCAAACATGTGACGTCTCAGATGTTTATGGATGTTAGGATGATATAGGGAAACCCAGACAGATGATAATTTTTACTCTTTTGCAAACAAACAAGAGAAATAGTAACCCTCTCTTATTATTTACAATAAATGGTGTATAATGGTACGTGACAATCAATTCTAAAAATGAAATGAAGTTTCCCCCAAAATAGTAGCTATCAGTCCATTGGTAAACAGTCCTGTTTTCCTTTTATACATTGAGTATATTTCTTTCTAAGTAGACCTATGTGCTGACTTCCACCCAGGCTACAACTTGCTCATGTCATCATTCTGAAATCAGCAATCCCTCTAGTTTGCAGTCCTATCATTCCCAGTTGAGAGCCAGGAAGCAAGTATAGCAGGTCTTCAAATAACACCCCTTCATTCAAAGCCTTTCATTATAATGCTGATAAGGGGTAGGGGAATCCCTCCCCATGTTGAACAAAGGGGTGTGATTTAAGGATATATGCTTTCATTATGACATTTTTCTTAAAGTTGCAATTTTTAGAAATTAAGAACTTAAAGGCATGTCCACACTGTCTGGACTGTATATCAAAGGTATGTCAGAACCACTGATATGAACCTCTCTATCTTTCTTCCCTCCTTTCACCAAAATCTTATCAATGGACTCCACTTTTTTCATAACATAATTAAGAGGAGTAGAGGCCAATAAGGTATCTGACGGTGCAGTGCCTTACATCTATGGTTATGGTTTATTCATTTTTCCAGAAACAGCCACCCTTTCTATATCACATGCTATGTTATTCCTGACTTCTTTCCTCTAAGACTTAGAAGATACTTTGCTTTCCGAAGTCAGCAATAATAGAGCATGTGTACTGTTGCTTTGACAAAGCCTAAAGATACTGCTATCTCTCTAATCATTGATCTTGAAGGCAAGTGTGGGGAAGGGGTAGAGACACAAAAGGGAGAAGAGGAAGATCTTTAAAAACCACTTGCCCCTACCCCTTATCCTCAGCTGAACTTAAACATTCAGTTTCTCAATTGTGTCATTTGATTAATAGGTATCAAGTGCCCCTTATGTGTTAGGAGGCACACTAAAGAGTGAAATAAAAGAAGAAAATACAGGAGGTACCTAACCTTAGAAAACATTCCTCCTCAGTGGAGAAGATTCTAATAACTTCTCAGCTATTATCAAAAGTAAGTGTTCTCTCTTTCAAAGCCTCTCTGCTCTAGAACCTCCTGTGTAAATGTGGTTCCCACCCCTCCCCCTTCTACCTGACCACTGTGAGTCTCCTCTGGCTCCTTCCCCTCACCCCCCACCATAAGTGTTACAAAGATCTCAGGCTCCATTCTGGTCCTGCTCCTTCTCCCCTTTTTTAGGAAATCTAACCCAATTCTTATGCCTTTGACTACTATTAAGTATCACCATTAAACACCACTGAGTCCCCAATTCATGTCAACAGCCCCGCCCTCTTTTGTGAACTCTGGGTTCATATGTTTTACTGCCTCTTCTGATATCTCTACTTGGCTGTCCAGTGAGCATGGTATACACGATCTATTTAAAGTCAAGTGCTGGTTCTCTCTACCCACGTAATGTTCTTCTACCCAATCTTTTCCTTTTCAGAAAATAGCACTCAGAAAAACCAGTTGTCCAGATCAGAAACTTGGAAAGTGATCCTTGATTCCTCCATCTCTCTATTCCCCACATTTACTGCATCGTTCATTAAATTACATCAATTCATTCTTTAAAGTATATTTGAAGCTCATCTGTTTATCTTCTTGTGCTTGCTACTAGCCTCATCAACAATCTCATCTGGGGTATTCTGAAATCCACTACCCCCTTTCCCTGCCCTCCCCCCCTCCCCAAGCCCGGAATTCTTCACAAGGACACCCAAGTATGATTTTCCAGTTCTAAATCATGCATGGCACTCCCTTGCTTAAATCATTTAAATAGTTTCCCACTGATCTTCTATTATAAACCACACTTAACATGGCCTGTAGCAGGACCCACTGATCTGGCCTCTGAAAATGTGCAGCTTCCAATATGCCCTGCCTCCACCCATCACTTCACCCTCTGCTTTAGTCCCAACAGCCTTCCTAAAGCACCTCAAGGTTTTTCCACCCTTGGAGTCTTTGCCCATCTGACTCCTATGCCTGGACACTTTCTCTCACTTTTCACATGATTCTGCTTTTTACAGTTTTAGCCTAACAGTATCCTCCTCACAGGGATGTTCCTGTTCATCCCCTGAAAATAGGTTACTATAGTGTTTGGTTGTAGACAACTCTGCTCTTTGCATAGCTCTTTCATTTATAATTATAAATTTGTTTGCTTTTCCAGTATGACTTCTCCAAAATATGCAAGTAGGACACACACATCATGTTGTTACTGCTGCTTTGCACTAAGTCCCCAGCACCAGAAATGCTGTCATGCAAAGAGCAGGTGCTCAGTAAGTACTTTCTGAATGATTTGCACTTTTAACATCATTGGTGTCATAAACTGGGAGTAATCTGTATATTTATAAGTTCATTTTCATGTACTATATGCAAAACAGTGTATTGGATCCTTTAGCAGATGCAAAGATATGTAAAGTAAATCTGACTTTGAAAGAGCTTGTAAATCATAAAGAGACTTGTGATGTCTTAGAATGTTCTATATACTGGGAAAGGAAAGAACAGGGTGCTTGCTAACAAATGGTGTGAAGAGGAGCCAGGAAACCTAAATTTGGGCATAGCAATTGAAAAACTGATATAATACTTGTGGAACATTTGACATGAATTGTCAGGCACAGGTAATAGGGAGAAGCAAAATATTACTGGCATTTTAAATTAGATAACTAGGGTAATGAAAAACCAAACAAAAAGTAACCAACAGAAAGATTTGGAATGTGGAAAGAAGAGAGAATGTTG